GACTTAGAGAGGTTAAGTAACTTGCCCCAGGTTACACAGCTAGTAAATGGAGCCAGAGCGGAAACCCAGGTCAGTCACACTCCAAAGCTCATGTTTTTAACCACAGTGCTCTACTGCTTCCCAAACATGGAATTTAGGAGGTAGTTATTTATAATTCAGAAGGAATTCATCCATCTTAAGTACAGTTAAAACTTGTAAGGAATTGCTACCACTTGAAGATTAAGTTAAGAAGAGTATTTCGGAAATTATGTTAATGAGAAAATGCTTTAGTTAAAAATACATTTAAGAATTTATCTATCTATTCACTAATTTCTATAAATTGTTTATGGAATACCAACTAGGAAATATTGTATAACTTTTGCGTTTTCTGTTAGATTTGAAACTGTAAGTGATCAATTAATATTTATCCAATGAGTCTCCCTGTTGGTAGTATGCTGAGTTTTCTTTTTCTGGAGGATTTCTTCTTCTTTTTTTAAAATTTTTTTTTACTTTATTACATTTTGGGGGGGATAGGTAATTAGGTTTATTTATTTATTTTTAACAGAGGTACTGGGGATTGAACCCAGGACCTCATGGCTTGCTAAGCATGCACTTTACCACTGAGCTATACCCAACTCTTAGAGGATTTCTTCTAAGTAGATTGACTATTCATGCTAATACTGAAAGTCTTCCTTATTGAGAATAATTAGGGCATGAAAAGGTTATGTACATCTACATCAGACAGGGACTAAAATTTCATAGTAAATGGGAGAGAGTGGGTAGGAGAGGGGAATTTGGTATTTTATCTTGAAAAGACAACCATAATTTATAAAATACACATTCCCATATTTAATAAAAGCCAAGTTAAAAAAAAAGCCAAGTTATAGTTACAACTCTGCTAATTTATAGAATGAACTAAGAATAAAGTGTAATTTTTAACAAAATTTTGTCAGTTATATGCTGGTATAAAATGCTTTAGTTTACCTTTGATTTTTGGTACATGATTATGAAAAGGGTCGTTTTTGCAAAAATATTAGGGTTCACTGATTTTTTCCAAGGGCCTTTTAGTAATCATTGGTATCTAGACATATCTCAAGTGCGTATTGTATTATTCTTGAGTTTTCTTCTATTGCTCTGCCAGATCCTAATTTCTAATGGCTTTATATATGATTTGACCAATATTTAATCTATTAAGTCCTAGGTATTTTGCAAATTTTGATTTTTACTTTGTAACATTTGTAACAACTAGTCCATATGTAATGAGCACTGATATCACAAGGACTGCTCCCCCATGCTAGAATCTTTTAAGTTTAATTGTCCATTATTTGAATGTTTCACAATTGCAGGAACTCATGGGATGTGTCTAGTTGTGTCTATTAAGATACTTTTCTCATTTGAGTATTTAGTGTGCTAGAACTTTGTAATAAATACAGTTGACTTTTGAACAGTGTAGGAGTTAATCTGCATATAATGTATAGTCTGCCTCTTCATGAAGTTTCCTGTATACTTTGAAAGAGTATGGAAAAAATTTTGTATTTTGCTGTTTCTTTTTCTCCTTCTGTTCCTTGTGCTACTGTTGTCATTCATTTTACTTCTTTCATTTTCATTCATTTTACACACTTTGTAAACCCCATAGTAACTATTGTCATTTTGGCCTTGAACAGTTTTAAAAGAAAATGAAAAATAAGAAAAGTCTTATTTACATATTTACTGTTTGGGTACTGTTCATTCGTATGTGTAAATTAAGTCTCCTCTGGTATCATTTTTCCTTCTGCCAGAAGAATCTTTCGTTATCGTGTCTTATACTGCAGGTTTGTTGATGATGAATTTTTCTCACGTTTTGTTTACTTGAAAAAGACTTTATTTTGACCCAATTTCCGAAAAATGTTTTTGGTAGGTGTACAATTCTATGTTGACTTTTTTCCCCCTTAGCACTTTAAAGAGGTTATTCATTGTCATCTGATATGCATAACTTCAGATGAGAAGTGTAGGATAATTTTTTAGTCTTTGTTCCTACACACCCGAAGTGTCTCTTTTTTTTTTTAAATTGACTTATAGTCAATTTACAATGTTGTGTTAATTTCTGATGTACAGCATAGTGATTCTTTTATATATATTTATATACATATTTCTTTTCATATTCTTTCTCATTATAGGCCGTTACAAGGTATTGAATATAGTTCCCTGTGCTGTACAGTAGAACCTTGTTGTTTATCTTTTTTATATATAGTAGTTAGTATCTGCAAATCCTGAGCTCCCAATATACCCTCCTCACCTCCTTTCCCTCCTAGTAATCATAAGTTTGTTTTCTATGTCTGTCAGTCTATGTTTTGTAAATAAGTACATTTCTACATTTGTGTCCCCTCCCTTTTTTTTTTTTTGGATTCCACGTATAAGTGATATCATATGGTATTTTTCTTTTTCTTTCTGGCTTACTTCACTTAGTATGATGATCTCCAGGTCCCTCCATGTTGCTGCAAATGTTGGCTGCTTTTAGGATTTTTCTCTTTAGCACTCGTTTCAGCAGTTTGATTGCCATGTGTATTGATGAGTTATTTCTGTTTGTGTGACTGTCCTGCTTGAAGTTTATTGAACATCTTAGATTTGTGGGTTTATGTTTTATCAGATTGAGAAAATTTTGGCCATTATTTCTTCAGTTTTGTTTTGTTTTTCTTTTCTTTCATCTTTTTTCTCCTTTGGAATCACAATTTCCTGTATAATAGACCACTTGATATTTTTCTAAAGGTATCCGAGGCTCTGTTAACTTTTTCCTTTTTCTTTCTATGCTTTATTTTTGATAGTTTCTGTTGCTATATCTTCAAGTTCATTTGTCTTTTCTTCATTGTCTAAGCTGTTGTTAATCCTTTGGAGTGACTTTTCATTTTAGCTAATTTAACATGTATTTTTACAAGTTCAACATGTTTTTCTTTTATATCTTCCCTTCTTTTTATTCTTTATATGTTTGTTTAAAAATAGTTCTTGAAAAAATAATTTAAAGACTGAAGGTGATAATACCTAAAAAATCAAAATAAAAAAATAAAAATAGTTCTTGAATGTTTCCATTTTAACAGCCAGTGTCTCCTAATTTTAATCTTCTATGAGATTCCTGGGTCTTTTTCTATTAATAGATTTTTCTCCTAGTTATTGGTCACATTTTCCTCCTTTTTAACATGTCCAGTAATTTTTTAAATTGGATGCTGGACATTGTGTATATTACATTCTAAATGCTGGATTTTGTTGTATCCCTTTAAAGCATTTTGGACATTGTTATTGTAAGTAGTTAAGTTTCTTGTGGATAGTTTGATACTTTTGGAAAGCTTGCTTTTAAGCTTTTTTGGGGTGGGGCTAGGGTAGCTTTTCCTTTAGGACTTCTGGTTTAACTTCACTAAGGTGTGACCCTCCTAGAATCTCTACTGATTACCCAGTGTGTTCAAAGATATGTCTTCATTCTTGCTTTTGGAAATTTGAGTGATCCTGAGCCTTTGTGAGCTCTGAAAATTATTTGGCTTTAGTTCCCAGTAATTGTTCTTTTTTCAGTTTGTTCTTTTTTTAATAGCCTCATGTATTTCACCCTATGCCTACAGAGATTGGTGTTCTTAAGGGGAGCTGTAAACAGGTTTTCTAGAGTTCTTTCTCTGCTCTGCAAATTCTAGCCATGTTGGCCTCTCTGAACTCCAGGCTCTGTCTTCTCAAATTAGCAAGCCTTCTGGGCTCTATTTGAATTCCACCTTTCTATACTGTAGTCTGGAAATTGCCTTCTAGATGAAGGCTGGGGCAGTTGCAGGACTTAACATGTTTGCTTCCCCCTCATTTAAGGTTTAGAGTGCTTCACTTTCTGAAAACATTTGTTTTACGTATTTTGTTCAGTTCTAGTTATTTATGGCCGAGGGGCAAGTTCAGACCCTGATACTCCTTCATGGCCAGTAGGCCATCTTTCATGATTTTTTAACGTCTCTCATACTTCCCATTTCACTGTCTTCTCTTTTCAACTGTCTCTTCATTTCCCTCTGATCTCCTATTAACTCTTCCACTGAGTTTTAAATTTCATTTATTTTATTTTTTCATTTCTAGAAATTCAGTTTGCGTCCTTAAATTTGTTTGGGATACTTTTTTTAGTCTCCTGTTCTTTTCTCATATGAAGATATTTTGAAGCCTTGACTTTAATTTCTCTACTGACATAAAGCTTATTTTATATTATCTGATAATTCCAATGTCTGATGCTTTATAAGATGGGTTTTGCTGTTTGTGGTAACTTGCTGATTCTCACTCATGGTCCCTTATTTCTTACAGTTATTGGATGTGGGGGTTTGTTTATTTTTAAGTTTATGTTTATTGAATTGCTGTCTATAGGAATTCTTTCATGGATAGACTGAAGTATCTTTTCCACACAGGGTTTATATTTTCCTGTGACGCATTGTTGATGCTTAAAAACTCTGCAACCCTTAGGACCATTCTGAATGAAATTTTTCAGTTGAAGGATTCATGATTAATGTGGATTTAGGGCCTGCAACCATGTGAAGGTTGCTTGTGGCTACAAATTTTCAGGGAGCTTTTTCTCCCCCTTCATGCATTGCTGCCCCTTCTTTAAAAAGGGATGGTTTTTTGGTCTCTCTTTTTCTAGGGAGTTCACTGCTTTAGTCAGAGGTCTTCAATTCAAATTCCTACCGTGGGCAGAACCTAAACTCTACCTCCTATTTCTGTTCAACCTGCAGAACAAAAATCAGGCTTACCAGGAGCTGGCTGATACTTTTAGAATAAAGTGGGTGTAGGAGCTCTCTTACCTTCCAGGATTCCCATAGGAAATCACTTTGTTTTTGTTCTCAGATTCCTTAATTCCTTGACAGCTCAACAGTGAATTTAAAAAGATATTTTTACATTTTATATAGCATTTTTAGTTTCTGGCAGGAGAGATGTTTAGGGTATTTTGTCACTCCTGCTGTTAGAAATGGACATATTTCTTTTGTTTCTTCATATGAAGAACTACGCATATGTATAAATATTAGCATAATATTAAGATGAAGTACATCCAGCCTTTCTCTATGATGTCTATAGAATATAAATGTGTAAGTTTTGATGTTTATGTTATGCATGATTAGAGTTTGCCATTTATAATTTGGTTCCTTTTTTGTTTGCCTTTTTTATTCCCCCCTGGACTTCTTGGACATAATTCAGCGCTTGGTTTCAGTTGGACTTGATTCAAAGAATGCAGTTTGTGTTTGGGATTGGAAAAGGGGGAAAATGTTATCTATGGCTCCTGGTCACACTGACAGAGTAAGTATTCTCCTTTGGAGTTTCTAGTGGGTACCAGGTGAGAAAAGGCCAGAGAAGAGCTGGGGGAATTTTATGTTTCTGTGTTTTCTTATTGACGGATAGTTCATGTGTAATTAAAAATTTTAAGTGCAATTATAAATACTCATAAAGTCTTAGAATGCATATTTGTATTATAGTACTGAAAAACATGACTTGATATGTAGAGTGTTAGCACAAAACCTTTAACCCAGTGTTTGTTTCAGTAAAAATGATGAATTTTAAGGTAGTCAAACCTAAATTTAAAAATTGAATGGTTCATACTTAAGCTCTATTTATTATTTAGTCTGGTTTATCACTAATTTATTACATATATATCATAG